CTACTACTACTACCCCTCCTCCTCCTGCTAGGGCTGGTGATGATGACAGTGCTAGTGCCAGTGCTGCTGCTACAATACAACAAAAACAGCAGCAACAGCAACAGCAACTCAGCAACAGCAACAGCAACAGCAACAGCAACAGCAACAGCAACAGCAACAGCAACAGCAGCAGCAGCAGCAGCAGCAACAACAGCAGCAACAAAATCAACAGCAGCTCAGCAGCTCAGCAGCAACAGCAGCAGCAGCAGCAGCAGCAGCTGCAGCTGCAGCAGCAGCACCACCACCACCACCACCACCACCATCAGCACCACCACCACCACCACCACCACCACCACCACCACCACCAACCAGCACCAACCAGCACCAACCAGCACCAACCAGCACCAACCAGCACCAACCAGCACCAACCGGACCACCAACCGGACCACCAACCGGACCACCAACCACCAACCACCACCAACCACCAACCACCCACCCACCACCACCACCACCACCACCACCACCACCAACAACAACAACAACAACAACACAAAAAAGCAACCAAAAACAAACAAACAGCAACAACAGGGGCAGCAGCAGCAACAGCAATAGCAACAGCAACAGCAGCAGCAACAACAACAGCAGCAGCAGCAACAGCAACAGCCATGGCAACAGCAACAACAGCATCAACAGCAACAACAGCAACAGCACTAGCAACAGCAGCAACTGCTGCTGCTGCTGCTGCTGCTGCTGCTGCTGCTGCTGCTGCTGCTGCTCCCTGCTGCTCCTGCTACTGAGTACTGCTGCTACTGCTGCAGTACTACTGCTACTACTACTACTGCTACTACCGACTACTACTACGACTACGACTACGACTGCTGCTACTACTTCTACTCCTACTACTACTACTACTACTACTACTACTACGACTACTACGACGACGACTACTGTTGCTGCTGCTACTACTACTACTACTACTACTACTACTACGACTTCGACTACGAATACGACGACGACGACGAATACTACTACTGCTACTACTGCTACTACTACCACTACTACTACTACTACTACCACCACTACTACTACTACTACTACTACTACTACTACGACTACGACTACGACTACCACTACGACTGCGACGACGACGACGACGACGACGACGACTACGACTAGTAATACTACTTTGAGTTCTCCTACTGCTGCTGCAGCTGCTGCGGTACTACTCGTACGACTCGTACTACTAGTACTACCAATACGACGAGTACTGCTAGCACTGCTACTGCTAATTGCTACTGCTACTTCTACGTACTTCTACTACTGATTCTTCTTGCCTCCACTTCATGTAACCCACGAAGCGCAAGATCCGGTCGGGCCTGGGCACGAAAGCCTTGCCTTGGCTGGGTCATGGGCTATCTTGTCTTGCCCCGCTCGGTTGAACTCGATCGTTACTGTAGATGGTTCGGCGATCTTTGCACTGCTTCATCCCGAAGGCAGGAGCATTTGTTTGGGAAAGAAATATGCAAGGGTCGTGCGTGAAGCTCCAAGATGGCTGCTAAGCAGGGGCTGGGTTTGATGCGCTCGAGATTCCAGATCGCTTGTTACCAGTACCGTGAACTCGCGAAGAGGAACCCAAACCTTTGGAAGCCATGCCAAGCATCAGAGCTAGCCCTTCGTCGTCGCAAAGCTGCAGAAGCTCCTGTCATGCGACTGAGATATCTTGCTTTGGCCCAATAGCATAACCGGGCTGCCACCCACGAAAAGTGCAGCTGCAACCCCACATGAGGTTCAAGAACGTCCTGCACTTTGCAGATCTGTCCCGATCTCTCCCAAAAAAGCAGTTGCAAGTTTCACCTCTTCGATGCGATCCACAGAAGGCAACATAGGATCAGCAAGCAACTGCATGAAGCCGGTTTTCACACTTCTTGATTCATCGCGCTTGCTTCAGCAATCTTTGCCAAGTCACCGCTGTGAGGTTGGAGGAAAGGCTTAGCCCTTTTGGCGGATTCCTCTGACGCTTTGCGCCGGCCCTCCTTCTTCTTTGCCGCCTCGTGTTTCTTCCAAGCCAGATGGTGTGAGCAAAATGCGTGTCCCTCTTCTGCCCGACGCTTGCATCGCCACTTCTTCCCATCTGAGCGGCAGCATTGTTGCGGCTTCTTCTTGTCCAAGTTCTCTCTCCTCCAAACCATATGGTGCGAGCAATAGTTTTGCCCCTCTGTTGCTGGACGCTTGCATCGCCAACCCTTTCCATCTACGCGGTGGCATTGATTCGTGAATATTTGTAGTTGATCCATCGCCGCCGGCTTCGGTTTCGGCTTGGAGAGAGGGCAGGAGTGCAAATGACACCGATACCCTGCCGGGCCATGTTCGTCTGCCGGCCTGTGTCGGCGTGGCTGCCGACCGCATACGTTGCAGACATAGCCACCATGTCGAAAACATCGCTTGCCTGCCGGGCCGTGCTGATCCTCGGTGGCGACCTGTGAAACTCTCAGGTTTCCTTCAGCATGGGCGGTTCGGGGCATGAACGAGGTCTACTGTAACACATACCTATGTATGGCGGATCTGCTGGCTCCACAGGCCTGCTTGGAGGTTCGAGGTTTCGGGTCCGCAGAAAAGGTGTTCTGCACAAGACGCATTGTAAAACAACTGAAAACCAAAGTTCGTCTTGCTGCTCGAAGCAAGGCACGGTTCCCCAGCAAATCCGAGAACACCCATGCACGTTGCAACCACCTCCGTGGATACGACAGCGATGTCCAGCAGGACCAAACGTGTCGAGGGCTCCCACCTTGCCGACTGGCCAGACTCGACACCCGGGAACGCTGCATACCTGAGTCACTGGAGGGACCGTACCAGTTGGTATTGAAGATAACAGAGTGCATGGCAAATCTTTCTATCTCTAGAAACGCATGGCTCAAGTTGAGAAGATTGTAGTTGGAAACCAGGACATGCTCCGATTGAAAGCGCGCGGCCAACCGGATTTCTTGTGTCGTTTACAGTGCGTGGTCATCCCGTCGATTTTGACAGCTTTGCCGTGGTGTTGACGCGCTGCACGTGCGCCGCTGTACAGTGACTTTCAAGGTCGCATGGCTTACGTGCTCCAAACCTGCACGAGAATCTAGCTGATCATCTGTGTGTGTGTGTGTGTGTGTGTGTCTGTAGAACCGCATATTTGGCCATGTCCGCACATCTGGGCTCAACAAGTCGCTGTCTGCGCCAGGGCTTCTACTGTGAGGTTACGCTGTCAAGCTTGGACCCTGTGTCTGGAATATTGCCGTGTCCCCCCGGCTGCGCAAGGATTCAATTACGCCAATCGTCACGGTAAGCGGCCTTTTGCGGTTTTCCCGTGGTAAGCTCCCAGAAGACGTCCAGGAGATACATTCCGTTGATAACTGTGGTGGTCAAGTGCTTGATGTTCCACCCTGGTAAACTAAACACAACGAAGAGGCTGACAAGCTTGCAAAGATGATGCACGCAAGTTGCTGTAATCGAAGTGCGCAGCAATCCTTTCGGCAGGCCTAGATTTATCTCGTCAGGTGCCTCATGCTTCGAAACCAACTTGCTATTTCCTGAGACTGCGTTAGGCTTTCGTTGATTATCTGCAAAATCTTTGACTCACTGCAGCATCGATCAGTGGGCTGGTGACTGCCGGTGTATTATTGATTGCATCCTTGATTGTCGCAGCTTGTCGTTGATGTCCAAGACTTCAATTGGGCCAAGCATCCGACTACATAAGCGTTTTCTCTTGCGGGAAGTTGCTGGAATATTGGTCGCAGAGAAGACGCACTGTCCGAACGATCCGAAAGTATCTGACTGCAGAGTCACGCGGCATGAGCTGCCGTCCGGTTGTGTTGCTGAGTTCGAGATTGCACGAGCTACCTGCAAATAATGCTCACTTGAGCTTCATGACATGCCGATTCAACGAAAATTCGAGTTGATTGTTGTCACACACGGTGATTTCAGCAGTAGCAGTGTGACTTTCTAATATGCCTCATTGCAACTCATGTGTCAAAGTCTGTGGGGCTGCTGAGAGCATCTGCGCATAGACAGTTCCGAGTCTGCCAGGTTGCTCCGGAATGCTTAGCACCTTGCTCGACTACTCGAGGTCTTCAGCAAAGCGCCGCTCTAATGTCCACTTTACAGCACACTTTCTTCGGATTTCCAAAAAGTTTTCCTTGAACTCCTTGTTTGTCGAGTCTCATCTCTCTCCTGTCCTGAACCGAATGTGCTGCATGATGTGATAATGAGGCTTTATATACATCTACATTCGAGGATGTTCTGACTCGAGGATCGCAAGGCTGGCAAGCGAACTCACCTAAGATGAGTTGCTGGTGAACCGGCACCTCAACAAGAATCCCACAAACGCTCGGCTTTATGGAAGCGAAGTTGACACGCCCCTCAAACAGCAAGCCGAGCAACTTTGGGCCAAACAGCACTGTGTTGAGGGCATCGCCGACCCGCAGGTCCCAGGAGGTCCTCCGGCGAGTTGCACTTAGCCTCCCGATGGCAGCCGGTGATCGTGCAGCGCTGGGCTCCATGCGCTTTGCATCGCAGCCCACTCGGACCCAAGTGATCCGCCTTGCACACGATACCGCTGGAGGACCGCTTGCATCCAGGCACGGTGCAAGTAGCCCGTCCGCCGTGGACTTCGCAGCGAAAGCCCGCGGGCCCGTGAACGTCGTCTCTCAATACTAAGCGACAAGCTTTGGAAGAACAGCCGGCGACTTCGCATCGCCTTCTCACACCTGGCAGCCTCTTTCTGTGGTGGTCACAGCGGAGGCCAGCAGGACCGTGAGCATCGTGTTTGCACACCCTGCGTACAGCAACGGAAGTGCAGCCGGCAACGTCACATTGTCTCCGCACTCGTGACTGAAGAGCAGTCTTGTGGCGGTAACAGCGAAAGCCCGCAGGCCCATAGGCATCATGTTTGCGAACCATGCACACAGCAACACAACTACAGCCAGCAACATCACATGGCCTCCGGACAACCGACCGCAAAGCATTGGGTGACATCTCGGCCTTCCGAGAGAAGCACTCTTCCACGAAGTCCGCGAACTTTTGCCACTCGTCACCGTCGTCACCTGTGCCTTGCACCACTAGGTGCTGGCACAAAGGTTTCGCGACGAGCAATGTTCGCCGAGTGCTGGCATGCTGCAGGTCCAGAGCTTCCCAGCAGGAGTTTGCAGTGCGTAGCAGCTCTGTTAGGCAACTTGGAAGCCAGTCGCCAGACTTCTTCTGGCGACACTCCGCTTTGGAAAGCACGAGCAGACCGGCTATGCAGCAAAGCAGGACGCTGCAAACGCGGCTCCCATCCGCTTCCGCCTTCGCGTGTCCAAAGGATTCTTGCAGCTGCACATTGCGTGCCATCACTTTCGCCTCGCTTTTGCTTTCCATCAGACTCCACCACTCCAAAAATGCGGCCTCAGCGATAGGACATCGCTTCAAGCCGTGATCCCAGAGACCGGTGAGACCGGTCGGAGGGTCAGGAAGTGATCTCTGAATCGAACATGCCAGGGGAGTAGCCACAGAGGCCAGTTGCACAGATCGGGCACGTTGGAGCCCCTCTGCCTCCGGTGCACCAGGCCGATCATCAGTGCGAAAGGCCACCAATGGGCCCAGGGGTCCACCCGGCCAAGTTCCGGGGAGAGTGAAGATGTCTGGGTGCACCTCATGGCGCGGGGCCATGAAATCCTCGAGGTTCAAGCTTTGCAAACGAATCTCGCAGGCCAGCACGCTCTGAACATGGCCTACCATCCATAGGGCATTTACCGCCACTAGATCGCCACGAGGTCGCTGCATGTCCTACAGCGTCGCTGCAGCCTCTGCGCCGAAGCATCCTTGAGGCCCTAAAACAAAAGCATCCACGTCCCGAGCCAACATCCGAGGCAATGTGATATTCCACGCAAACACTGAGGCTCAACGTCAAGCAACAACGGGACTCCACCTCCGCGAGCGCCACCCCCGCATCTGCGTCCGGGCTGACACCTGCAGCTTCTGGAATCATGTGCTCAACTTGCCAGTGAGTGGCGGCAGCTCAAGACCGCCCCCACAAGTACTCGCTTCATTTCAACTTAACGTTTCAGCCCTGTGCAACCTGGGCTCCAGGCCACGGCCAAGTTCTGCAAGTACCTGGCCAGCTTTGAACTGTAAACCAAGCAAATCCATGCGGCAAGTTCGACCGACACAAAACCGCAAGCAAACCCGGAAACAGTAGTCTGAGGGATTGCAGTGTTTCTTTGACGCTTACATTCGGACAAGTCCAGGCCAGAGTGCGACGCTGACTTTGCAAAAATCTTTAATAACATCTCTACCAATGCCATGCCGCACTAGTCGGCGTAATTACCAATACATGTCAATGTTCCTCACAAGTCGTAGCAAGAATCAGAGCAACACTAACACCCCTCCTGAAGGCAAAAACAAGATGTTGATGCCGCCAAATGTGATGGCAGTCTTGATCAAGCTAGCAATGACTAGCACTCGTCATCATCAACTTCATGAAATTTCCCTCTGCGAGCTGCACACTGCTATGATTGCTATGAAATGGTATGAACAACAATGATGATGTCCTAACTGTCATTACTCACTACTCTCTTTTGCGCTCCTTACTGTGTTGGCAGCAGTCGACGTCGTGGTGTCGGTGGTGGCACTTCTGTGACGCGGAGGACACCCCCCGGGTGAAGGTGGCGACGACGCTGCTGATGATGATGACGATGATGATTGTGCAGGAGATGGTGGTGAGGTTGAGAACTAGTTCTGTCGAGTGTTCTGCTTCTGTTGCCGGCTGCTAGAACTGCTACAGTATCCGTTGCACTAACTAGGTCCCACCTCCCACCTACATACTGGTGACATGTTCAAGAAGGCCAGCCGTCCAATTCACACAATCATATCAGGATGGAGAAATTCTGCGGGTGGACAGTTAACAAATGCAAAAACTGAGATCAATGAGCTCTCTTGCTGCTACCAGGAGCGTGAGCTGTACACTGCTTCATGCAAAAGTCTACAGGAAACTCTGCAGCAGAAGAACAGGGACGATGATATCTTGCGATTTTCACACAGGGCTTAACTGCTGTGCTCGTTGGTCAACCTATGTAATGCTGATCTGTTTACAACTACAGTTCTCTCTCTGTTTGCCGTGCCATCCTTAAAAGTACAACTACAGTTCCAGCTGCAAGCAGGACGCTCCAGAATGTGAACGGAAACTGCAAGGAAATCTGCCAAAATTTCTATGTACCACGTGCGATGCCCTGTACTTCATGTACAGGCTTCATGTACAAGCTTGAATCATTCGAAGCTAGACAAAGCCTGGCAGATATATCACGATGCAACAGCCATTTCGGAATACTGCATCTTGCTGGACTCCCCCTTCTCCGGCCTAGTCCCCGAGTACCTACACTGCCTGCTTTGCTGTGCTTTCGCACGACATCTTCTCTCAACGAAAGCTCAAAAGACGCGGCATCAAGGGCACCCTTTCCAATAGAGATATAACTAGAAAGAATCTTGCCACTGCTGCTAGTCTGTTTACTGGCAGCATGCATGTGCTGTTCGGTTTCGCAAGCTGCATGCGCAATCTATGATAAGGATGAAGAGTAATCGCCGTGCTCTTCTCTTGACCAAAATAAAACCAATAATACTTCATGGGTTTGAACTATTGCACTATAATGATATGGGACTGTTTTCACGAAATACCATTACCAAGTGACTATTCTTACCCCTACAAAAAAAAAGCCATGGCCTCGCCCAAACGCTTCCTGCGCCGATCACTGGCCTGCAAACAGGCAAAAGAGCAGGCGAGACGTGAAACCACGAGTTCCGTCAGGATCCGTCAGGTTGAAAAGGAACCCAGCACGTGTGCTAGTAACTAGTAGTGGCAATAGTTGGAGCCGTCGCCGGTGGTAGCAAGCGGCAGCAATTGGAGCAGCTGCAGGAGGAGGAGGAGGAGCAACAGAAGGAGGAGGAGGAGCAACTGAGCAACTGCTCGACCGCAGGACAGCTTGGCATGCCCTGGATGTCGGGTATCAGCACAGACATGGAAGCTTCCAATTGAGGCTTTGGTCGAGCAGGGCATTTACCAAAGGCGCGGCAGCAGATGTATCAAGTGAATCTGAGCCATCCTGGCACTGTGTCCGCGGGCGCCAGCAACTGGCTAATCCCCGTTAAAATCCCTGTGTGAAACCGACCATGCCCGTTTTCTTTCGTGAGGCGGTCGTTGAGATGAGGCTCGCGACTCGTGATGCGAGAGCGTGCGACAAGTTCCCGGGACTAACGAAACCCCGCGCATGCAAGCTGCGCAACAGGGATTTGGGTTCAGAGTTTAGGAACCGCAGTCTCAACAACAGCAGCAATAGCAGCAGCAGCAGCAGCTACGAACAATCACAACCAGAAGCATGAAAGGAGTCGTGTCGGCCGTCAGCACCATCATATTCACAGCCATTCTCTGGCAAAGAGTCGCAGATGACGAAAACTGACACTTACTGCCGACACTTGCATTCACAATCTGTGTTGAGGCCGTGCGCGCCCTAAGCAGTTTGGTAGAGAAACTGACAACAATAATAGGTGGGCGAGACACGACGGAAAAACACTGCACTGACGATCACAGCAACCATGAACAACCCCGACACAAGGTGGCCGAACCAATGCGACCAGCGCCTGGAAATTGACTTCGCGAAGACTTAAATGACAGATGTAGATGGCTGCACTGCAGAACGCTCTGCTAGCAGCTGCCTCCCGGTTCGGGGCTGAGCGAGCGCATTCAAAGGCATATCCTGAGCTGCTCGCTCTCGTTCCAAAGCAATTGCAACTAACTTTTTGGCAAGGGACTCGACCTCTGCCCCAGCGAACCAACTAGACTCTTGCTCTGCTCAAGGCTGGCGTATACAGAGTTCGCTGTGGGTATGTATGTATGTATGTATGTATGTATGTATGTATGCATGCATGTATGTATGTATGTATGTGTCTGTGGGTTTGTATGTATGTATGTATGTATGTATGTATGTATGTATATGTATGTATATGTATGTATGCATGCAGATGTGTGTGTATATATATATATATACATCTCTCTCACACACACAATCGCAAATGAAACATAGAAACATATAAGTATGTATGTATGTGTGTACATACATACATACATACATACATACATACATACATACATACATACATATATACATACATTTATTTTAGCACTCGCACTCGACGCTTTTTTTTAGCACTCACACTCGACAAAGCAGGCGAGGCTTCAGTCCACCCATCGCACTCGACGCTTACATTACATTACATTACATTACATTACATTACATTACATTACATTACATTACATTACATTACATTACATTACATTACATTACATTACATTACATACATACATGCATGCATGCATGCATGCATGCATGCATGCATACATATACATATACGTATACATGTTTGTATATATACATATCTACTTATACATATAC